ATCATCCGAACGTACCTGCGATTTTTCCGATTCTTGTGAATGGCACGGGGCTAAGCCCAGAACCTCCTCACATGATTCCTAAGTAGCCGCAGACTTGCACGCTACGACGTCATCTTGTCGGTTCGTCGTTCGTCTTCTTCTTCCTTTTGGGCCCTACTTCCTCTTGAAGGCCTCCAGGATCCAGTGATTCGTACATGTACCCTTCAGACTTGGAACCCTAGGCCGGCGTGTGGCACCGCCGCTTTCAGTTCCGTACGCATATCCATAAGTGTGTGTGTGTGTGTGTGTGCGTGCGTGCGTTACACCCTCCGTTTCCAGGAGTTTGTTCCTTACTCAGTTTGCGGGGGGGCAAGGCCTCCAGCGATGGAGACGTCCATTCGTGCACCTGCAGCCGGAACGTTTGACCACGCTGTGACTCCACTTTCCCTTTTTTGCTTCCATGGTGGTTCTCACGGCACTTCCCATCAAACCCAATTTCCCTCCGCGTTGCAGCTGCTGATCGCCGCCTTCATTGAGCGCTGCTGCAACATTTTTAAACATTCTGCTGATCGCGGACTCTGCCACCATTCCGTTCCATCATTCCTTTCCCATGGAACAGAGTTAATGGATAACCCTGTGACTAAGTGTGTCTCGCTGCGTCGTCCCACTCGGGTGCAAAGTGTGATCCCCCGCAAGGGGGCGCTGAAACCACCGTGGGTCACTTTTGGGCTCAACTTTTTTCACTCGTGGATCAGGTTACTGAATTGAGGTCTCACCCATGAATCTTCCGACCGCAAAGCTGCGGAGCTTACGCAGGCTTTCACTGACCCGCAGAAACTCAGTTTCAAAATTCGCACATGTTTCACGTTCTTTTCAGGCAAGTGATCACCCTCCATTTTCCATGAACCATGTCGTAGTTTGTCCCGCTTTGCCACTAGCGATGTAACATGCATTTTCCGAATTTTTAACTTGTGATCTTATTAGATACATTGGACTACCTGCTCACTTTTTTTTGCCAAGAGCTGCCTCACAGTTCTGAAAAATCCGAGACCCCACATCAGCCGGCAGCAAACGATTGACACGCCAGTCCCGCCTTCACACCATCTACAACTATACCTTTCCACCGGCGGCTGCGGATGCTGCGGCAAACCACCTTGCCAACTTGTACACTCACAAATGATATACAGCAATTGACTGCCAACGGCTTTTGAAGAGCGGAAAAAAGCAATACCCTGCCACAAACGAGCGCCGATAATCGGCGTATTGTGTGTGTGTGTGCCACCCTCCGTTTCCAGGAGTTTGTTTCTTACTCAGTTTGCAGGGGGCAAAGCCTCCAGCGAAGAACCTTGTCCAACGAAGCTAAGTCGCTGGAGGGGAAGCGAATGGAGACGTCCATTCGTGTACCTGCAACCGGAACGTTTGACCACGCTGTGACTCCACTTTCCCCTTTTTTGCTTCCATGGTGGTTCTCACGGTACTTCCCATCAAACCCAATTTCCCTCCGCATTGCAGCTGCTGATCGCTGCCTTCGTTGAGCGCTGTTGCAACATGTTTAAACATTCTGCTGATCGCGGACTCTGCCACCATTCCATTCCATCATTCCTTTCCCGTGGAACAGAGTTATATAACTGAAAACCCTGTGACTAAGTGTGTGTGTGTGTAATGCGTTATATATACACATATATACACATATACATGTATGTGTATATATATATGTGTGTGTAGATGCATATATGTGTATATATATATACCAATTTGATCTTCCAGGGTGTTTGATCCTGGCCTGCCAGTGTGATGAACTGATACACCTCGAAAAAGGCCCTGAAATCCACAGACGGAGCAGCTAATATTGTAAAAATGAATCCTGCAAATTGATATGCCCCACTCAGAATGGCCGCAACTGTGCAACTATTGTCAAACAACTGGCTGAACTGAACGGAGGCCAACATCAGCATATTGCCCCCAATGCCAACCATGCCATAGCCGAAGGGGACAAACTTTCCTCTCTCCCGAGAATATGATGCAGTGCCGGCTAGAATGTGGTGGCCGAAGCACTCCACACAAAGCCCCAACGAAGCAAACCAACGTGGCCCCATGTAATCCAAAAATGGTGAAGAAATAGCTGTTCCCACCACAAACACTTGGAACCCTCGCCCCCAAACTGCCGTCGCATCTTCAATTCCATACCCACAATCCCGAAGTAGGGCTTCTTCAAAGGGGGAAGACCCAAAAATCAAGCCCCCACTCATAGAAGCCGAAAGAAGAAGCGCAACACCCAAGAATACAAAAGGATGCCAACCGCCGCGGTCAACAGGGGGGCCACTTTGAAATGTTGCGAATCTCTCAGCTGAAAAGCTTCTGCCTCGCAATGCCACTGCTGAAGACAAGCTGCTGCTTGAATTGACGCAATCTATGCTTCTAGGTGGAGATTCGACACGAAAAGCGTACGGAGTTTGACTGTTGGCCATGGCGTCGTGCGCAACTTCGAGAAGCCAGGAAGTTTGAGCAAACTTCTTGCGGGCTGCCCACTAGCAATTGTCTTGAACGCTGGCCCTAACAACTCTGCAAACCGCATGGTCCAAATTCGCGCCTGCCCATAGCACCGCCGGGCTACGTCCTCCGTACCATGTTCTGGCTGCGGTGCCCCCACGGCAAACACATATCTAACTATTCGGGCCAGCTGATTCCTGTGGTTTAGTAAAGGGGTGTGTGTGTGTGTGTGCATGTGCATCTTTTCTGCAGGTGTGTGTGTGTGTGGGTGTGTGTGTGTGTTTGTGTGTGTGTATGTGTATGTGTATGTTTATGTGTAAAACAGTATATATTTTTTAATATGTGTATATATTGTGATATAAATATAAATATATATATATATACACATCCGTATTTTTGTGTGTTAGTGTGTGTGTGTGTGCTGCGCATGCAAGTAACTCTATCTGGGGTACAGTGCTTGCAAACTGTGCCAGTAAATGTGTGCTCACTCTCTCTCAATATATATATATATGTGTGTGTAAGAAAGAATACATACATAGATACATAGATATATATATATATGTTAGGGGGTTGCGGGCTTTGTTTTGCATGTCTGATCTGTGAGCCTTGCTTCCACATACAGTACCTATTGAGAGTGTGCCTACCACAGCAAAAGGATCCCGCGGCAAAACTATCCCGTTTAACTTCAGAACAAATGTCTTGCTTGACACACTGCCTCTGCCACAAAAGTCACTTGCAACGGCATCGTCACAACAGCAACCTGCTTCACCCTTGGCCCTTGGCAAAGGTTGGGCAGGAATTTCACCGGCCTTTTGAACAAAAGAATCTGACTGTTGCCCATCTATTGAAGAGCTGCAGGGCCCGTCGTAAATCGGCTCTTTTTTTAATAACCTGACCTCGGCAAACGCTGGACATCTGCCCAAGAAAAGACGTTTCAAGGCCCAACTTGAACAGCATGACACACTGGTGGCAACTTGCATGAGCGGTGTCAACAATGGTTGCACAAAACGTGCGACTTTTTGGAAGAACCTCTCAATGTGAATCTTGCTATAGCCTTCCTCAGCTTATGCATCTCTGGCCACCGCAAAGCTCACGAACACCATTGGTAGGCCAAAAAAATAAATACTGCAGTATGGACCAGTATGGATGTCCGGTGTTTGAACCGCCCTCCCCAAACTTGCCTGGTCTGGTCTGGGCTTCGCATCTTGGTTCGGGCATGTGGGTACGACCCAGGCATGTAAAAAGGCGTCCGAGAGAATCCGGGGCCACATCTGGAAATTAGCCCAGCTGGAGACCCCAATAGCAAGATACAAACCGGGACAAAAAGAAAAATCTGCAAACAGCTGCTGTTTTCAACACATCGACCATCTCTTCCTTGGACACCATCATCACATAACCGGGACACCATCACAAAATGACCAGGGCACCATCAAAACATGACCGAGACACCGTCACAACATGACTGGGACACAATCAAAACATGATCGGGACACCATCACAACATGACCGCGCCACCATCACATGATCGGGACACCATCAAAACATGACCGGGACACCGTCACAACACGACCGGGAC